CATGTTTTGACAGGCTACGGAAACCTCTCTCCCAAAACGGCTGGTGGTCAGCTTTTCTGTGTCTTTTTTGCTCTCTTTGGAATTCCTCTGAATATTGTCTTTTTGCAGCATGTTGGCAAGATGCTCTCCATGGTCTGTGAACGGTTAGCTAAATGGCTGTATAGGAAAGGTGTAAAGAAGGTAAAATAATAAAAAAAAAACTTTGTTCCACGATTATTTCTGAAAATAAGCCAAAGAGCTTAAGATGATAATTTAATTGAAGAACAGTCTGATTCATGCTTCAGTTATGCAGAAACAACCATCATTTAAATCTGTTTTGCAGCTGCACATTACCAGCAAAACACATCCGTACTAAAGTTACAGTGATGTAGCTATCAGGATATATTGAATAGCCATGTAATTTCATTAAATCCATTTCTGGAAACAAAATATTTCTAGTCCATTAATTTGATTTATGGGTCAGTTAATGTGCACAACCAGAGGCTGCAAAACTCAAATGGTTCATTTAGTGCAGGCCAAACCAGGGCACAATATCTCAAATTTTAAAAGAAATCTGCTCCTGTTTTACTGAAGTAACTTCAGATTGCATCAAATGATTGTACCATTAGAGAGGTTTAAATCTAATCTCTGCTTTAATATGATAAATTCGAAGCAAATTATTAGGCAGAAATGTCTCCCCTCTCAACCTGAAGCTCTCCAATACACAGAATACTCAAAGTGACTCCAAACTCCTCCTAAAACAGGAGTATACAACCTTGGAAACATTTAGACTTGTGCACCTCAACTCTCAGAATTCCTTAGCCAGCATTTATGCAGAATTCTGGGGAATTCTGGGAGTTGAAATCCCCTAATTTTAAAGTTGCCAAGGTTAGATACCCTTGCCTTAAAATATTTCTCTTAAACTTTGACATCTAATCCTGTCACTTAACATAATCAAAGAATACAATCCAATTTTTATTACTTAATCTTTTTTTTTCACCCTTTCCTGTTAGGACTATCCTTGTTGTCCTCTCCAAAGCTATCCCAATTTTTCTCACTTGGTGTGTGTCATCAAGACAGTCTTGATTCTTGGTGATCTCATAGATCTTATTCATAATTGATTATGAGTGGTTTATCACTGTCTTCTAACATACAGTTTGAAATGATGCCTTTGTAGCTGCCAGGCTTTCTGTATTGCTGTTGCTGCTTGAATAGACATCTGTTTAACTTAGCTGTGAGCTGGGATGACCTTCACTCCTAGCTTAGATGGTCCTGGTGGGAGTATAGCCTTTCCCAGCATACTTTGCTCATCCCTTCCAGGAATATGTGTCCTGCCCAATAACAGCACCGGACTTGAGGGGGGGCAATTTCTCTAAAGAAGGCTTAAAAGATAGCACTCAGATCAGTACACTAAATGCATTGTAACACTGTGCAATAGAGTGGAAGCATAACATGCAGCCCACGAATACTCAAATAGACCTCAATTTACAATCATTCATTTAGTGTCCATTCAAAGTTAGTGATACTGAAAAAACTGGCGTACAACTGGTCCTCACACTTACAACTGTTGCAATACTGCCACGGTAACAGGATCAAAATTTGGGTGCGTGGCAATAACATGTATTCACGACAGTTGCAGCATTCCAGGAACACGTGATCTCCATTTACATCCTTCCCAGCTGGCGTCCAACAACCAATCAAAATGGGTGGAAACTCAGTTTGCTTAACAACTGCCTGATTCACTTAACAACTGCAGTGATTCACTTAGCAACTGTGGCAAAAAAAGTCTTAAAATCAGGCACGGCTCACTTAGCAGCTGCTTTGCTTAGCAACAGAAATTGTGCTCCCAATTGTCGTTGTAACTTGAGGACTAGAGACAATATAAGACCATAGAGGTCCTGGAAATAAGATAAGCAAACAGGCAAGCAAGCAGGCAAAAGCAGCTGTCTGTACCAAGGGCAATTTTCTTGTATCAAATCAGTGTTTTTTCTTCGTTTTTCAGAAAACAGCAAGGGGCTTGACGCTTCTGTTCTTCCTGGTTATGGGAATATTAGTGTTTCTTTGTGTGCCGTCGGTCATCATTCGAAAAATAGAGGGCTGGTCCTATAGTGAAGCCATTTATTTTACATTTATTACCCTGAGCACCATTGGGTTTGGTGATTATATGATAGGTAAGTTTTCCTGTAACATTTTTGAAACAATACTTCCTATTTGGATCATGATGGCTCCTATGGTACATTATGTTCTGATGCAGTCAAGAGACTAAAGGAGACTTGACTTTTACAGTGGCTATAGGGTGAAGAGAACCTATTCTGGACATCCAAGGTACATGGTTGTAACCAATGTGCTCACCATATAACACAAGGTTGGTTTGGGAACCTTTTTAGCCTGTGGGTGACATTGGTTGCTGAATAACATTCAAAGGAGTGTTGCTGCATACCTGAACATCCCTGGGTGCACTCTGCACAGTCCTAAGTTCAGTGATCTGAAGCAACATCCCTGAGAAAGCAAGAACAATCAGCTTCCATTTACTATACAGGTAATACTCAACTTACAACAGTTCATTTAGTGATTGTTTGAAGTTACAACTGCACTGAAAAAAGTGACTCATGATCATTTTTTACACTTATGATTATTGTAGCATCCCCATGGTCATGTGATTTACTCGGCTGCTTGACAACTGACTTACAAGTTATGACAGTTGCCGTTATGTTATGTTATGTTATGTTAATTTTAATTTGTATACCGCCCTTCTCCCGTAGGACTCAGGGCGGTTCACAGCATATTAAAAAACAAATACTATACACAAAATACAAAAATACAGAAATACAAAAAATATAAACCCCAATAAAAGCCGAATTAAAAACCAAATATTGCCAGCTGTGTTTCCGATTAAAATTACTTTTAAAATCATCCCTA